AAGAGTTATTAGCAGTATTCTAATTATTATTGGCTATTATTAATCAACACCCAACACCCAACCTTAATTCATTTATGAATAAAAAAGAATAGGTATTAACCTATAGGTATTAACCTAAAAATCAAAATTCATAGAACTCCAATATTTTGCCTATATTTTTGGGACTAGATTAGATTATCAATAGAGTGAAGAATGCCAAGAAATAAAGGCCTTATCATTTACATCTTAAGTTTTACAGTTTTTCTATAATCCCATTACTAATTAGGTTTCTATAAAATTTGAAAAGAATATTTTAGAAGTCTTTTTATTCACATGCTTTATGTGTTAGAGAAACTTGATTTTTATTTTTAAAATGTAATTTTAAACAATATATTTTATTGATTTTTTTTTTACAGAGAGGAAGGGAGAGGGATAGAGAGCTAGAAACATCGACCAGCTGCCTCCTGCACACTCCCTACCGGGGACGGGCCTGAAACCAATGTACATGTCCTTGATCAGAATCGAACCTGGGACCCTTCAGTTTGCAGACTGACGCTCTATCTACTGAGCCAAACCAATTTTGGCGAGAAACTTGATTTTTAAGAATATTGTGCGTTTTATGAATGATATTTTGAAACTTCATATCAAAACAAGATTTGTAAAGGCTGGGCTTGTTTTTGATAGCAGGGCACCTGTCTTATTTATTCCTTGTAGTGTCCTTATCTGTTGTGTTGTTTTTAGGTAAATACCTATTCTTTTTTATTCATAAATGAATTAAGGTTATGATTAAGGTTAATGAATTAGTGCAAAAGGCAGATCTTGCTGAAGAAAACTTTCATCAGTGTTCTAGATTTAAACATTAATTTTCCTGTTAAGTTGATAAAACCAGAGAAAGACTGATTAAAATAGGAGAAGGATCTTGCAATTGTAACATTGTCTTTATTCATTTGACTAAACCTGGTGGTTACTTTTACATTCCAAAGAATTTTTTTTCTCTCTCTTTAGATTAGATTGGAAGGCACATTTCATTGTGTACTTTTGGATTGCCTTTTTAGTTTTTTAAACCCTTCTAAAGATCAAAATCTTGTTCATGTAAAAATCTACAAGAAAGTAAATGTGTCTAAATGTACTTTTTAAATGTGCTTTCTGAAATGTGAAAGATTTTTGGTCTAAACAGTACTCAAAAATAAAAATATTGGCATTAGCAAGCCTTCGAACACTTTGATCTTTATCTGATTTATTTTTATCCTTAACAATGTTTATTGTACACCATTCTGAAGGTTTTTTTTTTTTTGTAAGATTCTATTTCAGATATGATCTTTGTTCAATAACTTGGGATAAAATTCTTAAAAAGATGTTTTGGGGCAAAAGTTCTTCATGGGTAGAATAAAAGGTAAACTACTTTTGATTATGTTTTGCTGTTAAGCTGTGCCAATCCTGGCTGCATTGCCACTTTACCTTCCTTCTTCAGAACAACTGGCACTTGATACATGGAAAATATATAGTGGGTGAGGGATGAGGAGAAAGAAGTTCTCACTTTAGTGGTGGTAGAATTGCATTATAAAGTAGTTTTTTGTTTTTTTAATGAGCCAAAACACAATAATCCTGCTATTCCTCACTGTAGCTTCTAATTCTTAATTTAATATAACATCAAATTAAGTTGGAATAAGGAAGAACAAGCTTTTATAATGTGCCAGACCTCATATGATGTCTTTTATCATACAGATATTTAAGAACTGGCTTTTGGCCCTGGCTGGTGTGGTTCAGTTGGTTGGAGTGTTATCTGTACACCAAAAGGTGGTGGGTTCAATTTCCAGTCAGGGTGCATAACCAGGTTTTGGGTTTGATCCCCTGTTGATCCAGCAATTGATCAATGTTTCTCTTTCATATGGATGTTTCCTTCCCTCCTTCCCGCTTTCTTCTCTCTAAAATCAATAAACACACATAGCTTCTTTTAAAACTGGCTTTTGTCTATTACCTAAAAAATTCTCTCCTATCTTATTATAGGACTGGAGGCCCAGTGCACAATTCGTGCACGGGTGGTGTCCCTCAGCCTGGCCAGGGATTGAGGCCTTTCTGGGGGGGCAGCTGGGTGTGGGGGAGGGGCTGCGGGAGGTTGACTGGCTTGGGGGAGGGATTGTAGGAGGTTGGCTGTGGGAGCGCACGGACTATCAGGGGGCAGTTCCTGCATTGAGTATCTGCCCCCTGGTGGTCAGTGAACATCACAGCAACTGGTCATTTGGTCATAATTGTTATATTTTTATTAATATATATACATATATATAAATTTATAGTAATTTTTATTGATTTATTTTTAGAGAGAGAGAGAGAGATGAAGGGGAGAGTGAAAGAGAAACATCTATTTATTGTTCCGTTTATTCATGCATTAATTGGTTGTTTCTTATATGTGCCTATACTGGGGATTAAACCTTTAACCTTGGCATATCAGGATGATGCTTTAACCAACTGAATTACTTGGCCAGGGCCATTTTGTAGTAATTTTAGTGTCAAGTAATACAACTGCATTTTAGTTTTGAGAGTGGGAGATGATATAATTTTCTTTTTAATGAAAGC